ACGCCACACTGATGAGGGGTGTTGAGGGGAGCGGAGTACACATGTGTGGGTGGGGAGGGCTGTGCGCGAACTCTGTATTCTCTGCTCAATTCTGCTGTGAACCTGAAACTGCTCTAAAAGAACAAAGTCTATTTAAAAAAACCTAATTACTCTCTAATTATGAAAACATTTTCTTATCTTAGTGCGTAACAGCATGTATTGTTGGGTTTCTTTAAGTAAACTTAGGGACATAAACAGAAATTTTCAATGAGTTTTCAAAGTACCTGAAAAATTCCATGAAAGAGAATCCATATCCATGCTGCTCTGCAATTCCGGCACAAACCACGTTGGCTGATGCTCCGATCAGTGTCCCATTGCCTGGAATCAAAATTCAAAAAGTAGAGCAAAATCTCAGGGTATCTTGGTGGTAGGTTTCTGTTCCCTTTTGTTCTAAAATATCTGGCTCATTACGTGCTTTTGATTTGATGATAACTTTACAGGCACTGCCAAAGTGATTGTTGCTATGCAAATGTCTGCAGAGAACAAACAAAAACCCACTGGCAACCAGGAAATAAATTCACCGTTTGCAAATATAGTACATTTAGTTACGGATAGGGCTGCTGCTGTCGTATGGGATAGAAAAGAGGAAATGCTAAGGAGAATTGGCAAATCACTGTGGGACGTGGTGGCATACATCTTTTAAAGGAAAACGCAAGTCGGGCGAACATCCACAGGAGAGAACGTGCGTCTTCAGAGCAGTGGAATCTCAGACGAGAACCGCCTTGCTTGGGACTCCGGACCTGGACACCTACCAGGAAACCCTTTGTGTGGGTGGAACGATGGATGTAAACAAGGCTATAAAACACCTTTCTGGGTGGGCCTTTGTGACAGCAGGCAGGATCTGCAGGGAGAGTGTGTACATGAGGGTGGCCTCACACTGAGGGACAGGGGCCAAGCCCAGCGCCCGACACAGTGACTGGCTCAGGGAAGGGTGAATTTACTTGGTCGAGCCATCCGCATCGTCTGTCCCCAGTGGCAGAGGTCCGTGCTCAGGGCTGGGTGCACAACTCCGGCTCAGCCCAGTTAGTTCAGTTCTGACATCTGTGCGTGAATCGCTGGGGACTGTGAACTGGGAGGCACAAGTCTGGAGCTGCTGACAACAGAGGGGCCCGAGGGAGTGGCCTTTCTGAGACTGGACAACAGAGCAGGCGGACGAGGACCAAGGAAGCCGGTGAAATGCAGCTGCCCCCACATCGCCCTCCCACTCAGCCCTCGCGCTGTCCTGAAACACGGCCGGGCTGCCAGCGCGAAGGCTCGCAAAGAGCCTCATCTCACCCCCTCCGCCTTTACTCCATGTAAGGGTTAGACTGGGCTGTCAGTGAAAACCTTTGACATAGCCCATTTACACACTTGCTCTAAGGATGAAATATATTTGATGTGTCCAAAGTGTAAGATTTTGGATCTTAAGAGCGCAATAAAAAACCTCCAGGGTCTCTTCAGACCGCCGAAGCCCACCGAGCCCACGCCTTGGGCAGGACCTGCCTCCCCGAGGTCGGCCCCAACCGAGCTGCCTGCGGTCACTGTGCTCCCGGTGTCCCATTCTGTGACACCACCCCTGCTCCTCACTGTAGTTCAAGTGCACGGCCCCGCCCAGCGTTTTAGGAAGGGTGCGATGGAGGTGGGAGGGCAGGGGGAGCAAGCCCATCACCAAGGGCAGAGGGACAGCTGCCCCATACCGGGGCGGGGGGGAGGTCACAGGCCAGCACACGAGTTGCTCTGTGTAGGACGGACTTCAGGGCGGTGACAACGGAAGTACAGAACTAGGCTGGGGGACAGACCAGGCTATAGATGATACTGGCGCTCCAGGTGGTAGGATGATGGGTGCGCACCTCCTACCCCACAGAGAGGCCGCACCTTGGTCCTCAGGAGCCGTGCTGTGTCATTATGCTACCACGTACGGCCAAAAGGACTACACACGGGTTGTTCAGGCTACAGACCTTGAGATGGGCACTGCCCTGACTTATCTGAGGGGACCCAGTGGAATCACACGAACCCTTAAAAGTAGAGAACTGTCTCCAGTTCTGGAAGCAGAAGAGAAGCCTCAGAGGGAGAGCAGGAGGGATCCTGGGGACCCCCTGGGGCTGCAGCGAAGGGCAGGTGGGAGAGAACCCGTGGAGGCGGGCTGGAGGGGTCTGGGGGTCATCCCGCCATTAGCAGGATTCCACACACTAGTGCTGGTTTGAGATGTACCAGAGAGGCCTCTAAGGAGCTCAGGGCGGCCTCAGCTGACAGCCAGCTGGGGGCTGGAGACTCGGTAACACAGCTGCAAGGAGCTGGATTCTGCCAACACCTGAGTGAGTCTGGGAGCAGACATCCCCAAAGCTACCGGGGGGGGGGGCGTAGTTTGCAGACATTTCGATCATGGCCTCGCAAGACCCTAAGCAGGACCCAACTGAGCCACCCTTACACGCTTACACGGAAGGCAAGAACTTGTAAGATAACAAATCCCCTAAGCTTGTCTATTCGTTATGGCCAGCACTGACTTGGATTTCCATCTCAGTTCTGCGACTGGCCTTTATCCCCCCTGCTGCCCGACACCCAGATTTCCACTAGCTTCTTTCTAACTTCCCAACCCTCAGCAGGCTCTCCCTCCCACCCCAAGAAGCCACTCTCCATGGAAATCAGCTCACATCCCCCTGGGTTTCCCGGGGAGCCTATTAGTGGGGATACAGGATGCGACACCACATGGGAGACGTGCAGTGGGCATGAGATCAGAGAGGCAAAGGGCAAGTGCTCAGGGGGCTGGCTCATCGGGGCTGTGGCCAGGCAGGGCAGCCCCAAGGAAGCCACGGGTGACAAAGTGACTTAGGAGTCTCCAAGGAGAATGAGATGAAGGAACGTGCAGGACTGGGTGAGGGGTGAGTTCTCCTGGAGAAGGAGTTGAAAAGGAAAAGACCAGATGTCTGCTGGTATCCCCTTAAGGCAGAAGCATCTAAGGACATGAAGGGCCTTTATCATCTCATCTTTGCCATGACTCTCGAGGCCCCCAGTGTCCCCACGAAGAAACTGAGGAACAGAGAGGTAACATGCTGAGTTGACGGGGTTGGGAAGTGGTGGGGCCAGGACGCCAGCCAGGCACTGACTCCAGAGGAAGATCAGAGAGGGCGGGACTCGGGCTTCACGATGCAAGCCTGAAGCCATCCTGTAGGCAGTTGTGCGGAGCGTCTGGGGGCCCCCGAGCAGGTGGCGATGCTGGCCCCAGCTAGGAGCTGACACACTGATGCCCCATCCCATCACCCTGCCAGCCAGCTGACTCTTGCTCTAGGCAAGAGTCTACACTCTTGCAGAACCATCCTGCCTGGGGGTTATTTCCCAGGGCCTGACGACTCTGTTACTACAGGAAGGCCACACTCCTCAGAGCGCCCTGCCCCGCTGGCCTCCACCGCAGAACACACACTTCAGCAGTCGGGCGGGGCCTGCTCTGCCACCCCGATTTTTCTAACAGGTTTACAAGACTTAACATGGAGAGCTCTGCTTCTGGACGAGAGAGATCCTCACACATGATCCAGGGTCACGTTCACGTGTGAGCTCTAAAAAGGCAACCCCCTCCTTCCCTCCTATCAGGGATTAATGACTGAAAAAACACTCCTTTCGGCTACCAATCAAGATTCCGGAGTAGGAAGATGTGGAGCTCCCTTGCCCTTCAAAAACACATCAAAAATACATCTACACGTGGGACAATTCTTATAGAAAAATCAGCTGAAAGCTGGCAAAAGATTTCTTATACAAGCAAAGAGGTAAGGTCCCATGTACTCAAGTAGGACCAAAAAAAAAAAGGTACCAGGAGAGGACTAGCACCCCTGGGAGGGCGCTGTGAGAGAGGGAGGTCCACACAGGTGGCCCCTTGCCCTGAGAGCTCCGCGTGCCCTCTCAGAGAGGGCTGCCAGCACACACAGAGGGACTGGAGGGGCCTGAACTCTCCTTGCAAGGAGCGAGTATGCGCTGGCTTGCTGACAGTCAGGGCAGAGAGAGACCGGTGCTGACAACTCCCGCCTCACTGCACTTCCAAGCCAGAAACCGGCACTGGGGGCAGGGCTGCTAACATGCAGGAGCCGGTCACTGAAACTCAGGCTTCGGTGGGTAGGTTCTGGGAGAGGACATGGTCTAGCTGCATGAGGACAGCACAGAGGGCCTAGAGTGTAGCCCAGAGCCCATCATTAGTGGATGCAGAGTTGGGCACAGGTCTGCCATAGGAGCCCCATTATCAGCATGCATAGGTCCCCAAAGGAGCACCATCCTCGGTGTGCTGCCAGCAGGGCAAGGCTCTGGTGGCGGCAGGCTTTGTGAGCTTGCCCATGGCAGAGGCGGGTCCAAGCATGCCACACACCCAAGATGATGGGTAGCGACCCAGAATCTCACATCTCCAGTGGGCAGCCCCTGGGGAGGAGGACACAGCCAGCCCTTTCCCAGTGGGCGTGCCCTAGCGCTGGCTGCCTCACAGCGCAGCCTGGGGCTGGATCTGGGGCAGAGGTGCTGGAGGAGCCCTGCCACAGGGGCGGCCTCGATCCCGGGCGGCAGCACGACCACGTCAGTTCCTGCAGCCAAAACACCCCGCTGCCCCCAGCGACAGTCTGGCACTAGGTCTGGGACATACACAATGGAGAAAGGGGTGAGACCCTGAGCTGCTTCTGGGCAGAACCGTGGATGCCGAACAGGTGGCACGTAGGTTCACCGTGACCATGCAGGCCTCCTTGCTTCGGTGCTCACCTCCTTGAGGACAGAACACACACTTAAGGGTAACAAGGCCTTATCGGACCCAACCCTCATAGCTGCTACTCCAACAACTGAGGAGCAGGCCCTG